TTTGTCTGTTGGATTCACTCCTGTATGTTCAGCACCTAAAACAGTAATGCATAGTAGGGGTCAAAAGGTATTTTCAAAATTTTATTTATTAAATTTTTCATTAACTTTTTATTTGGTAATAATTGTGGATTAGCATGCAATTATAAGCAAATAATAAAGGGAGATGCAGTATACAATTTACTGTTTTCTGCAATGGCAACATCTTACAAAACTATAATAAAATATCACGACTCAGATATCAACATTGATACAATAAGGATACAGAAGACTTCACCACTAAGATCTGCCATGTTGCACTTTCATAGCAAAACCACTTACTTCCACCCCCTACCCTTTTCTTAATCCTTGGCATCTGCTAATCTGTTCTCCACTTTTATAATTCTGTCATTTTAAGAATGTTATATGAATGGAATAATGTGGTATGTAATCTTTTGAGACTGGCATTTTCACTCAATGTAATTCCCTTCAGATCCTTCTAAATTGTGCCTATCAATCGTTCATTCCTTTTTATTGCTGTGTGGTATCGCAGGGTTTGGACGTACACAATTTCTTTAACCATTCACCCATTAAAGGGTATCCAGGTTGTTTCCAGATTAGGACTATGACAAGTAAAAATACTGTAAGTATCCATGTACAGGTTTTTGTGTGAAAATAAATTTTTATTTCTCTGGAATAAATGCTCAGGAGTACAACTGCTGAGTATTGTAGTTGACATATGTTCAGAATTTTAAGATGCCACCAGACTGTTTTCCAGAGTGACTGTACCATTTTACATTTTCACTGGCAGTGTATGAGTGATCCAGCTTTTCTGTGTCCTTGCCAACAATTGGTCTTGACACTATTTTTGATTTTATTTTAGCCATTCTAATGGATGTAAAGTAATAACTCATTGTAGTATTAGTCTGCATTTCAATGATTAGTAATGCTGTTAAATATGTTTTCATGTGCTTACCGTCTGTTTTATCTTTTTGGTAAAATGTCTCTCCATGTTTTTTGCTCATGTTCTAATTGGACTGTGTGCTTCTCTATTGAATATTCAAAGTTTTTATATATTCTAGATACATATCCTTTGTCAGATAAGTGATTTGCAGATATTTACTTTCACTCTGTATGTTGTCTTTTCATTGTCTTGACAGGGTCTCTGATGAGTGAAAGTATTAAACTTTGATGGCATCTAATTTATAATTTTTTCTTTTGTGGCTCATGTTTCTGGAATATATACTACTTGAAAAAAATCAGTATTACTAGCAGTGAGCATTGTTAAGGACTCTGCCTAGCCCTAGATTCTGAAAATTTTTCTCTTTTTTTCTCTAAAACATTAACAGTTTTACATTTTACATTTAAGCCTGTGATCGATTGTGAGCTAAATTTTATACAAGGTCTGAGGTCTTCACAAAGGTTGAGTTCTTGCCTATGGAAGTCCATTTGCTCCAGTATCACTTCTTGAAAGGCTATCTTTCCTCCATTGAATATCTGCTCTTGCATCTTTGTCAAAAATCAGGTGTGCATAATTGTGTAGCTCAATTTCTGGGTTTTCCACTCTCTGTTCCACTGAACCATGTGCTCATCTGTTGCTCTAACCATCCCTCACAAACATGAGAACTGCAGCCATATAAGTCTTAAAATCATTCTACCTGATTTCAAGACTTACTTTTCAAAATTGTGCTAGCTATTCTAGTTCCTTTGTACATCTATATACATTTTTGAACAATCTCATCTATATTGGAAAAGTTTTGTTGGACTTTTGCTTGCAATTGCAGTAAACCTATATATCAATTTGGGAAATAACTGACATCTTTACTATGTTTTATTTAAATCATCTTTTTTTTTTTTTAAATCAGGGTTTTTGTAATTTTTAGCATATAAATCTGATATATGTTTTGTTTGACACATGCCAAAGCATTTCATTTTTTTTCAAAAAAAATTTATCATTGATGGACATTTAGGTTGGTTCCAAGTCTTTCCTATTTTGAACAGTGTCACAATAAACATATGTGTGCATATGTCTTTATAATAGAATGATTTATGATCTTTTGGGTCTATACCTGGTAATGGGATTGCTGGGTCAAATGGTGTTTCTATTTCTATATCCTTGAGGAATCACCACACTGTCTTCCACCGTGATTGAATTAATTTACACTCCTGCCAACATATTTCTTTTTATATGTTGCTAATTTCTCTTTGATAATATTTTCTTAAGGATTTTGGAGTCCATACTTGTAAGAGATATTTGTCTGTACTTTACTTTTTCATGATGTTGTCTTTCTCTAGTTTTTGTGTCTTGTCAAGGCTACATCCATAAAATGAATTATAAAGTATTAACTCCTGTCTATTTTCTGGAAGAGATTGTGAAGAATTAGTGTTAATTCTTCTTTACATGTTTGGTAGAATTGTCTGGTAAAACCATGTGGTCTGAAGATTTTGTTTATGAAAAGTTTTATAAAACATAAATTTATTAACAGGTGTAAAGTTATTTAAATCATCTATTTAAGCTTTAGTTTATTATTTTAGTTTGCATTTTTTAAAGGAATTGTTCCATTTCATGTAATTCATGAAATTTATCTTGTAGGGTTGTTTGTAGTATTCTTCTCTTATGGAATGAATATTTGTTTTTCCTGCTCACGGATTTATATGTGAAGTCCTAACCTCCCAATGTGATTGTATTTGGAGGTGCAACATTTGGAGGTCATTAGGTTTTAATAGTGTCATGAGGATGGTGTGCTCATGATAGAATTAGTGTCCTTATAAGAGGAAAACGACATTAAATCTCTGTTTCTCCTTCATGTGAGGATGCAGAGAAGACCGCACTCTACAAGCTATGAAGAGGGCCCTCACCAGAATCTGAATATTCTGGCACCTCGATCTTGGGCTTCACAGTCTGCAGAATTTTGAGAAATATCTATTTTTTTTTAGCTACCCAGAGTACGGTATTTTGTTGTAGCATCCTGCACTGACCAACACATCTGTTATCCTTTTGACATTTGTGGGTTTCCTAATCATATCTCTTTTTTTATATAGTATTTTTAATAGGCTGAGTGTGGGACTCACGCCTGTAATCCCAGCATTTTGGGAGGCCAAGGCAGGCAGATCATCTGAGGTAAGCAGTTTGAGACCAGCCTGGCCAACATGGTGAAACTACATCTCTACTAAAAGTACAAAAATTAGCCAGGCGTGGCAGTGGGCACCTACAATCCCAGTTACTAGGGAGGCTGAGGCAGGAGAATCACTTGAACCCAGGAGGTAGAGGTTGCTATGAGCCCAGGTCATGCCACTACATTCAGCCAGGGTGACAGAGAGAGACTCTGTCAAACAAAACAAAACAAAACAAAACAAAAGAAAAAAGTATTTTAAATGAATTAATTAAAACTTCCATCTTAATTTTTGAGTACATTATAAATATCTAAATTCTAATATATCTAAAGCAGAACTTTTGATTTTCTTAACGTAGAAGACTACACATAGTATTAATTTGTATTTATTTATATTTCAAAGTTTTTAATTGGCAAATAATACTTGGCATATAGTTATGGGGTACAATATGATGTTTTGATATATGTGGTTATTCCAGAAAAATTAAATCAAGTAGATTAACAATTTGATTACGTCATCTACTTATTGTTCTGTGGTGAGAATGGTTAAAATCTACTCTTTTCACAATTTTGAAAGATATGTTATTAGTAGCTATGGTCATCACACTGTACAATTGATCAGTAAAATGTATTCCTCCTGTTTAACTGAAATTTTGTACCCTTTGACCAATATTTTTCCTTTTTCTATCAGCCCTTCCCTCTCATCCTCTGGTAAATATCATTCTACTCCCTGTTCCTATGAGTTCAACTTTTCTAGATTCTACATATAAGTGAGGTCATCCAATATTTGTCTTTCTGTGCCTGGCTTCTTTAACTTAGCATAACATCATTGAGGTTCTTCCATATTGTCACAAATGACAGAATTTCCTAATTTTTATAAGGCTGTATAGTATTCCAATGTGTATATATACCACATTAATTTTTATCCATTCATTTGTTGCTGAACACTTAGGTTGCTTTCGTATCTTGGCTATTATGAATCATGATGAACACAGAAATGCAGATTCTTTTGATATATTGATTTCAATTTTTGGTATATATCCCCAGAAGTGGTTTTGACAAAGGAACCAAGAACACACCATGGGGAAAGGACAGTTTCTTCAATAGAAGGTGTTGGGAGATCTACATGCGTCATTTTTATGTGTGAGATCTCTGGCAAAGAAAAGTTACCATAAAGATACAGTACTCATCATTTGTTATAAATCTTCAAAATAGCAATTTAATGGTGCTTTGCTTTGTTTAGCCATTGATTTTATACATATACATATATATATATATATATATATATACACACACACACACATACATATATATACATATACATATACATATACATATATTTTTTATTGCATTTTAGGTTTTGGAGTACATGTGAAGAACATGCAAGATTGTTGCATAGGTACATACATGGCAATGTGGTTTGCTGCCTTTCTAGCCGTTGATTTTTTAAACTCAGCTTTATTGAGGTATAATTTATATAAAATAAAATAATTGCTTTTTCCTATTAAGAAAAAAAAGGTGTTGGGAAAACTGGATAACCGCATGTAGAAGAATGAAACTAGCCCCTTATCTCACATTGTGTACAAAAACATTAACTCAAAATAGATTAAAGACTTGAATGTAAAACCTGAAACTGTGTGACACTACTGCAATATAGGGGAAAAGCTTCGGGACATTGATATGGACAATGATTTCTCATATAGGACCCCAAAAGCACAGGCAACAAAAGCAAAAATAGAGAAATGAAATTGCAGCAAACTAAAAAGCTTCTGCACAGCAAAACAACAACAACAACAACAACAGCAACAAAACACTGAAAAGATGACCCACAGTTAGGAGAAAATATTTACAGCTATACTTCTGATACGGGGTAATATCCAAAATATGTAAGAAAATCAAACAGCTCAATAGCAAGAAAACAAATAACTTGATTTTAAAAATGAGCAAAGAACCCGAACAGGCATTTCTCAAAAGAATACATAGAAATGACCCACAGGTTCCTGAAAAAACATTCAACAGTCCTAATCATCAGGGAAATGCAAATTAACATCACAGTGATCTATCACTGCGCATCTGTTAGAATGACTATTTGCCAAAAGACAAAAGATAACAAGTATTGTGATGATGCAGAGAAAAGGGAATCTGGTTATACTGTGATTGAGAATGTAAATGATAATAGTACAGCTATTTCAGAAAACAGTGTGGAGGATCTCAAAAAACTCAGAATTATCATATGATCCAGCAATCCCATAGCATTTCTATGTCATCAACTCATTAAATTTACCCATTCAGTTATTCATGTCCCAAACTAACTCATCCTTAATTCTTTGCTTTCCCTTATGTCCCTATTCAATATACCAAAGTGTACTGATTCTGTTTTCAATTATATCCAGAAACTCACTAGCTGGATTTCCACTCCAGGCCATACCACCATCGTTTCTCACCTGGACCACTGTGATACCCCTCACATGTGTCTTTTCTTCCACTCTTGCTCCCTAACAGTTCATCCTTTACATAGCAGACAGATCACACAAGTCTCCTATTCCCTAGAGTGGCTTCCTGGCAAATACACTGAAATCTAAATCCCTTATTTCACATACTGTAGCCCCTGACTTTATCCATGAAAATGTCTCCCAGAAGTCTCTCCTGGCTCAGCATGTTTCAGCAGCCACACCCTTCTTTCTATTCCTTGAGGATGCCAAGCTCATTCCCAGCTTGGGATATTTGCACAAGCTGTTTCCTCCAGCCAAGATACCCTGTTCCCTAAACATCTTACGGTCAGTTCCTTCTTGTAATTCAAACTCCACCTTAACTTCTTTTCTTAGAGATCTCTTTCCTGACCTCTCAACCTACTCACTTTCTGTTCTGCCAGCCTGGTTTTAATGCTCTCTCCTGGTTCAACAGCACTTACTCATATGGGATATGTTCTTATTTGTTACTTGGTAATTTGATGTTTTCTTTGTTGAGGTGTAAGCTGCATGAGAACAGAGGCTTTACCTTTCTCAGTTACTATTGTGTTCCCAGCACACAGAACCATGTCTGGAACATAATAGGTGCTCAGCATATAATTGCTACATCTATGAATGAAAGTGCTGTGCTTAAGGTTGCCCATACCCTATCTTATCTTACCCTTCAACAAGTAAAATATACATTCTATTCCCACTTTTGTAGATAAGAAATGGGGTGTTCAACTAATTAAACCAACTATTGAACTACAATTGTGTATTTCTTCTGCCTATTTCAAACTTAAGGATGCCATCATTCATGGAAAATGTGTAAGAGCAAGAACTTCATAAAAGGATATTGCTGATCACTGTGTATGGATCTGTTTATATCTTAAATACTTTTTATTAAAGTTCTGGAAATTCATAGAAAGCATGCTTTGTTATTCAATTTAAATAGTTAGAATGGTTAGACCGCTGAGACTCGTGGAAATGGGTAAGAGTTCTAGAAGAGAACGAGCCTCCTCCATTCAATGTAATTCGGTCTATCATTCCAGGAGTGCTTCTTTCTTAAGTGTAGAAGAACATCATTTCATATGTAGTATTGTTGGGAAATATCAGTTTTAACTAGAACTGTTGCAACAGTCAGAAAAAGAAGCCAAAAGATTTGTCTAGGTATTAAGATATGGCCCCATCTGTGCTAAATCTCACGAATATTTATACAGAACAAACAAAAAATCAAAAACAAAAACTCTGGGAGTATAAATTAGAAGTGTAGGAAAATCCTAAAAACTGCTTAAGACACCCAAGAATTCAGGAAAATCACTTTTTCAGAGAAGGCAACCCTATAGTTTTCTGGCTTTCACAGCAACTACCTCTATCCCAATGTCTTAAAAGAAAGGTACTTTGTGAAAATTGCAAATCCTTGCCATTGTTTTCACTATTAACTTTAAAAAAAGTCAATTGGTAAGGAGATGGTTGTGTTTGCTTTTTGAAATATGAAGAAACTGAGGCACGTCTTTCTCTTAGGGCAGTGCAGCAAATTAGTTTTGGAGCTCTGTTGCCAAGGTAGAGGGCTTAAAATTTGTGGTTTCTAGGCTACTGTGTTTTAAAGGAGGCAATTATGTATCCTAATTTCCAAATACCTGAGCCTGCGCTGTGCAGAAAATGTAGCCAGTTTTAAGAAACAGCTTGTTTTCGACTTCTAAGCCCATGAAGAAGAATATATTTATCTGTGACAAAATAGCATTGTCCCCATTTGGTGGTGAATCTTCAACTCTGTTTAGAATCAGGGTCAACTTCTCAAATGAGCCTTGCCTTTCCCCCATTTAGGCTTCCTGAATCTGATTAACACTGTGTCAGGGAGTTGTCTGATGTCTGACCTTGAGCAGCATGCTTCCCTCTCCCCACCTCCTCTTTCTGGGAATCATTTTGTACAGCCTCGGGCCCTGAGATTCCTCCCCAGCAGGCTAGATTGCACTCACAGGTTCCCTTTATTGGTATCCGAAGGGTTCCAGACCCAGTGACCTGTCATCTGTCTTCTCACCTGCTTACATGCTGATTCACTGATGAGCTGGCATTGCAGGCCCCGCCTCCCTCTGAATGGTCTGTGAGATTGCAACTGCTTCTGGAGAGGGGATGCCGAGCCGAACCAGAGCTGGGTTACTACAAGTGTAAACTGGCAGCCTATCTGTTGCCACAGAAGAACTTGGCCACCACATTGAGTAGCCGTGTTTTCTCACCTCCCAGTTACTGTTGTAGCTGTATCTGGCTTCTCTAGCATTTTAAAGGAATTTCTGATTGAGGCACTAACAGCTAATTCCACAGGAGTTGTAAGGCAGCCTGTGCATAAACTGAGACAGAAGTTTCTCCTCAGAGACTGTTTTTTTTTTTTTTAATATTATTATTGGCAAAGACTTCTGGCTCTTCTCAGAGGAATACCTTGTTGCTTAAGATGAGTGGCTGTAGAAAGCGGTGTAAACGTGAAATATTGAAATTTGCCCAGTACCTTCTCAGACTATTAACAGGTTCTCTTCATACAGGTAATGACTTTTTTTTTTTTTTTTTTTTAATAGAGGCTAGTACAGCGTGGTAATGAAGTTGACATGGAATAGGAAAGGCTCACTATTTCTTTGTTGTGATTATTTTTAATGTTGTCAATAAAATGCAATTGTGAATATTTGCTGAGATTTATGTTTCTAAAAATGTGTGCAGTGCAGCTCTTTTGGGGGTAGAACTGAATTCTGTGGATGTATTTTTTTATGTCTTCAAGGCAGTGTTGCTGGTAAATTTCAGGAAACAGCATCTGCAGAGTAGAAAGATTTTTTTTTTCTTTAAATACATGATTGTGCAAAGGGTTTTTCTCTTCTTTCCTGCTTGCTGCAGTTTACTGGAAAAGCACACAGATTTTCTTCCTTCAGGTATTTAGAAATTCTCTGGAACTCTTTGATTATTATAATCCATAGGTTATTTTCCGTGCTTGATCATAGGGCTTGGCAGTGAAAGAGTTAAGGACATTTCCTTTGGATCTGTGAGTTCCTTGCAAAATGTGAGCAAAATCTGAAAACAGCTGAAGAGTAAAATGTCCATGCGAGGTTTGATATTTGTTTCATTGCAGTGAATTTCAATGTTTTAAAATTTGCACTATTGAAATAGAAACTCTATTTAAATCTAAGTGTTGATAGCAAGAAAATATTTTTAAGATGTTCCACAATTATGAGGCTAAACCAACAGTTTTGTTTCCCATGAACTTCCTAGGCAATGCTGTCATTAATTTAGTGACAGGTGGGACCAAAATTACTTGACACTGATAATATATATTTTTTAATAGATCATCAAACTTCTGAGAGACAAAGCTTAGTCAATAGAACACTACACTTTGATTCTGGTCATAAAGAACTGTTGTGAGCTTTATTTTTCAAATACTGACCTATATTTGTCTTCTTTAATCTAAATAAAGAGAAAAGAGTTAGTAAAGAAACACACACTGTAAATAAGGATGATGTAAGGATGATGTGCCATTTATGATATGTCACATCCGAAAATGAATAAGAGGTGATCTTTTGCTGATATAAGGCTGAGAGATGAATTTGAGCAACACTTTACCTAAGAAAGTCAAGTCTTCACGATAATTAACAAAATTGCCCATGCAATTATGTTAGTGTGATAAGGGACAACCATTTTAAGAGAATAACTGACAAATGATTTCAGAGAACATTATTAAATATTAATAGATATTAAAAGGATTGTTAATATCATTATGTTAATTTCCTGTTACAGTCCACATTTTAATCTTTAGGTAGTGCAAATTGTGATGACTTTTGATACTTTTTAAGGCATAATCATTGAGTCTGTTTCTGACTTTTGCCAGCTCGGAGCTCTAATGTGTTTCTTACGCAGTCTTCACCTTTAGATTACAAATGTTTAGTCCTGTCTATATGACTTTCACATTGCCTTCCTATTAGCTTTAAAACATTCAAGTGAGGATGATGTGCCATTTATGATATCATGTCACATTTGACAGTGAGCAAGAGGCGATCTTTTACCTTGCCATGAAATTAGATAAATATTTTATAAAAGAAAGCTTTCCATGAGGCTTCTATAGTTGTCTGTTTCTCTCTGCTAGGGAAAATTTAAGGTTCTATCTGTTTCTTATTGGATTAGGTGCAGTTTTCTGCCTGTCTAGCTTATTCTGTTTGTGGAATAGTTTTTTTAAACTTTTGATTTCAAAGAATTTTATGAAAATGGTAAGTGGTTGTGAAGCTGTAAACCGTAAGTATTAATTCCAAAATACAGTGGTTGGTAGTTTATCATTGGATGGTACTTTATAATATGAAATTATGGAAAGCTAGTATAGCAGCAATGTTTTAAGCTTTATTCAATGCATATTTAGAAATCACTATAGGTGGGATCGCTTTCTTCTTTTTGAACCACAGGAGAAAAAAAGAAGCATAGAACTTTGAGAACAAGGACCGACAGATTATCACAAAGTAGTAACATAGATTTATGACCTGAGAAATGTGATTACAGCAACTTGTTTCTTATAAAAATTCTTTTCGGCTCAGTCTCTAATACTAAATTGTGTGATATCCAACCAGAATCTTTATAGCTGCTCAAAATGCGACTTGGAAAAGCCAATTTATACGTTTACTAGATGGTGTGATAATATACACTATTCATATTGTGGATTCTAATGTAAAATTCATTAGGACACTTTCAAGTCCCTTGGCTAGTAATTAATGAATAAGTAGGAAACAAGAGTTGAATTAGCTTAAAAAATTTGCTTTAAAGTTGGATGTACAAGCAGCTGCTAATTGTATCCTGAACAATCAGCATATGCCTTTGTAGCTATCAAAAATTTAAAACAACACGACATGTCTTAGATGATCTTTTCCTTTTTACCAACAAGCCCTTTATTTTTATTTATTTATTTATTTATTTATTTTTTGGTCAATGGTGTTATCTGAGGAAATAGTGATTTTGTTTTATATTAAAACAGGTTAATTCTGAAATATATAATTTTATTTTTGGCAGCTGCTTCTCATTTGATACCAAAATGGGCCATTTATATAAACACAGAACATTGGAATTGCAAAGAAATTTTTATGGATTCAAACTTTTCTTCAATTTGTCTTATTAGTGTTACCACAAGGTAGAGAAAAGCAATTTCTTTTTGTGTAAGCTTTTCATGTAAGTTTTGGCAATGCCTAGGATTACTTACAAATTAAAAATTTAATTTAATTTCTAAAATAATTTTTTCAGTGTGTACAAATTCAAAGGTAAAAATTTGTCCAGCTAAAATAAGATACATCTCTTTTCCCAGAAACTTTCTACACATTTTTTGTCATGGCAAATCACTTCTCAAAGAGTGTATGTTACAAACATATGTATTGGCTGTATTTATCATAAAAACATACAAATTTTAAAAGTTTCTTTGTTATGTATAATAAATCACAGAAATCCATATGCAAATATTACAAGTTAATGGCTTCAGTTCATTGTAGGATCAATTATCCTAATTTTGTCTCAGTTTGAGACCTGCCTCTTTATGTAGCATATTATATTCAATTCTAGATGGGGCTCATGCTACCCAATATATTCTTGTACATATAAGTAAATTGAGATGGGTCTTAGGATTGCTCCAAGAATATGACATTTATATCAATGGGCAATTTGTGTATCATAGGAACCCATACAACACCCTATCATATGAATTCTGCCTGTTGAGAAGAGTGAATGTTATTGATGATATCGTATTTTGAACTGTTTCTTCTTTATGTATAAAATGTAATATCGTTATGTTTTATGGTACTTACTTGAAGGCTGTTTTGACATTTTTCAATATTCTGTACATTGTTTTCTCGAAAAATCAAGACCTGAACACATTTTTCTATTAGCAAGAACTCCCCAAACGTATGTCTGAGGCGGATATTGCCTGGAGCCCTGTTTCAGACTTCAGGTCTGCAAGTTATTGGTATGTCCAAGTTCAATTCACCACCTAAGGGAAGCAAAAGCAATGTAAACCTAAAAACCCTGTGAAACACTGAATTGCTGTTTAACTAGTGGGTTAAAGTATTTCAAATTTCATGAAATTATATTATTAAAAGCAGGAGATAAGAATTCATCATTCCATCAAGTAGAGCGTTTTAGATTAAAGGAGGAGAGAGACAGAGAGATGGTGTACATTCATTTCACAAGTTTTCATCAGTTGTTTCCCCCTTAAACTTGACATCATTGAAGTTACCATGGGTTGAGCCACAACAGGCTAGTCATGTAAAGACTTAAATATTTTTTTATATTGCATTTTTGAAGTATGAAGAGAAGGCAAGAGGTGATCCTAAGCAAAATCAGAGAGTTGAAAAGTTTGTTTCTGGCCATGTGCCCTTCCATTTTCTGTTCTCTTCTTTCCACCTGGAGATGATGGAACACAGAATCATATTTCAAACCTCTCTCTCCTATATCCTCCCTCATACCCCAGCCGAGCCAGATTTACACATAGGGCAGACATATCTCACACAAAGGATGCACTTCTGAAGACCTCACATAATTAAACACTAGCAAAATTCAGGTTGAATATTGGCAGGAAAAAAAAAAAAAAGAGACAGGATTTTCTATTTCCCAGTTGAAATGGTCCTGACATGTCGCAGTAGAATACACAGTTTATATTCATTTGTCCTGTGAACTCTGAAATTATGCTATTCCTGATTTACTCTTTTCAACTTTTTAATCCATTCTTTCAAATTTTGCTGATAAAACAAGATTATATTTCTTACAGCATCATGTAAAATTGGCATTGTTCCAATGCATGTAATATGCCACCATGTTATATTGTTTATGCTGTTTCTTCCATTGAAACCTACTCTCAAGTAAAAAGCAAGCAAAGAAAAATGATGTTTGTACTTGACTGCAAATGAATTTATGGCACTGTGTTACTTTTCCCAACAGAGTTTGCATTTTAAACTTTATCGGGATAATTATTTTGTCCTGTTTTATTTTATTTTAACTTTACAATCAGGATTAAAGGGATATTTGTGGGGAATTTATGGTCTTGCTTAATCTTCTTATAATCTGCCATTGCTGCCAAATCTGATTACAGGATCTCTGATTTAAACAGACAAAACACCTATATATTCAGGTTACTGGTTGCCTTCCTTAATTTCAGAAAGAAATTTGTATGTTAATGTCTTATTACATTGCAAATTATGTTCTTTTTTCCTATAATTAACATATTAGTTAAGCTTTCAGGCTTAAAGCCTCTTCTTTCCCAAAGAAAACTGTGTTTATCATTGTCAGAACTTTAAAGTAGCAAATGATCTGATCTCATAGTCTTAGACATGGTAAAATCTTAAAACTCACTTGTTGACTTTTAATCAATATATTGCATGTGGTTTAAAGGAAACAGCTCATCTTCATAGAAAGAACTGCATCTGGCCAGGTGCCATGGCTCAAACCTGTAATCCCAGCACTTTGGGAGGCCAAGGTGGGTGGATCATGAAGTTAGAAGTTTGAGACCAGTCTGATTAACATAAACCCCATCTCTACT